TGCTCAGGTCCCTTCCGACCCTAGAAACTATGAAACATTTCAGGAGATTCTAGGATGGATCAGACGCAGCTGCAAGAAGTATGGTGTTTGAGCCAGAAGGGCCCAGCTAGCCAGTGCTGCCTCACAAGCTTGGTCAATGAAAAGGCTGTTTTTCTCAAGGGAATCCCACCTTCTGCCCTCCAAAAGACTCTTATAAACTCAAGGGAGTCACCTAGCACAGTCAGGTTCAGCATTGCACCTTGGGAGACCCTAGCTCCATGGACAGCTGCTTAGCCCAGGCCAGATGCAGAGAATGTGCTCCTAGCTGTTGCAGTTAAGCATGCATCTCTTACTGAGACCTGGGCTCCCTCCAGTTGAGACCTATGCCTGGCAGCACAGCTTGTTAGAACGCACCAAAACCAAATTATGCTACCTTGCTGCAACCCTTCCCAAGCTCTGCGTGTATAGTGCTAGGGAAATGTAGCCACTTCTGAGGTGGGAGAGTGGCAACCAGCTGCTGAGTAGTTTTCAGCCAGCTTTGTGCTCACAGGAAAAGTGACATAGGGCCTTTGGCGAGGTAGGGCCAACAAGAGTCCCTGTTGTTGACACATAGCTTTAATGACCTTTGCATTGCACATGAACTCCATCACTGTTCCTTGGAAAGAGAGGCAGGGACATCAGCTTCCTGGACTTCCAACCTGTTCCAGGGGCCTCATAGGTTTGCCGCTTCCCAAAGTAACTTGTAACCTTACTGTGATAGGTGTCTGGGTAGCAGGGCTACATTTCTAGCCAGAAACAGAACTGTTTGTATAGGGCCCACCAACTGTAGCTCTCAGATGTGATGTGATCATCCAAGTCTATAAATGATTTGTGATGACAGGCCACTTGTCTAGTCCTTGATTCCTCAGGAACAAAACACGAACTCAGAAGAGACAGTTTGGGTTCAAGCAGAGTTGCATGCCACAGTTTTGTGGCTGTTAAACCACAACCTATTGAGACAGAAAAGTAAAAGCCAGACACTTGGACTCTCTGGGTTGAAGAGAATCTTTGTGATGGGCTAAAGACAGTCTAAGCCAGCAGTTCTCAACCTTTTTAGACTCAAGGGCCCCCTTGGAAAAATGCCAGCCCTCAGTGTTTTGACTGCCAAAAATAAGAGAGTAATTCTTATGTTGCAAACAGCTCAGGACACCATGAATTCCTATTTGAAATCTTTAGTTTTATCTTGTGAGTCATGTGCATGTGCTTGCATACCTAATAGCGATATTACACAGCACCCCAGAATGCTGTGGCACACTGGTTGGGAATCAGGGGTCTAAGCTGTTTTAAGAAGCCTTAAGAGAAGTTATTGCATTTTCTCCCTGTACCGAGATCTCAGCTGACTTTTGCAATATGTTTTAATAAAAAGCTCACTTTAGCAGGCAGTGATGACATTATGGCAAACAAGAAGATTTCATGTGGTTTCACAGCCTCCTGTCCCCCAACCAAGTTGTGTGTGTAAAACCTTATTTTATTTCCTTTTATACACTGATAAGACAGTTTGCCCACATACATGTAACCTTCCTAGAAGAATCCCACTTGCCTTTCACAAGCAGGGCTCCCAGCTTATTTGGATAAACTATATAATAAAGGTACTGTCACCTACTGGTTAGAACACAAGCTTGCAAATCAGGTTTCTTGCTCTTCTAATGATCTGCTATGTGATCCTGGGCAAGCACAATTTCTGTGCCTCAATTTCTCTAGCTTTCATTGTGGTACTGCCTGGGAACCCCAGAAACACATGATGCTGGGCACTATATTTATAAATAGGTAAGATGATCTTTTCCCCAGAGCAGGAGAGAGGGTTGAACAAACATTTGTAAAGGACTTGGAAATCCCTGACCAAGAGGTGCCAATTAAGAATCGTGAATTAAAGCATTGCAGGTCAACCATGTCACAGAATGAAGATATTAGCACAGTACCATCACACAAACCACTTCCTTTGTTGCAGCCCTTTGGCAATTCCAAGTCCTACTGGCCGGTGACAGTTGATTTGATGTGCCATTAAATGCTTCTGAAGTAAGAGGTTTGCAGTTCCTGCTCTGCAATAACAATAGAATTAACTTTTGAATCTTAGTGCTGGGGGGGGAAGTAGGGGGAAGCCAGAGAAGAAAATTAATGCAACAAATGGTTGCAGCAGTCCGGGCAGTGGAATTCTGCCAAATCTCAGAGATATGACTCTTAACCCAGTAAGCCGTGTATTATCTATTGCAGACAGTCTCAGAGCTGCTCATCAGGCAGAGCTGGAGGTCTGCAAGCTCATTCAGGGTATCCTGGCTTCACCTACTTCAGTCAGTTTGTTTGCAGTTGGTTTTTAAGAACTTGGGGTGGACTTTGTGCTTGGGAATTTGTCTAAGCTGCCAAGGCACAAAACTGCCTCACCCCAGAGGGGAGGACCCTCTCCAGCTAGTCCCAACTCACTGAGCTTTTGCAGTTCAGACCATTATTCTCAGAACTGAGCTTCCCACCAAGGCATGCTGATACAGGCCAGATCTCCAGATGTGCACAACACTGTCCTGCTCTCACAGGGACACTGAGCAATTCCAGATTTTAATCAAGTATCTCGAGGGGAAGCAGGGCTCTTTGGAAAACACAGCCTCAATTTTGGATGTCCAGCAGTTGTGGGATGGAGGGGGAGAGAGGGAAAAAAATTTGCATCCCTGATCTCACTAAAAAAAAGAAAAAAATTAAAATAAATAAATAAATAAATAAATAAATAAATAAAATCAACCTCTTTCTTGACAGCAAAACCTCTGTTGTCCAACATAAATTGAGGAGCATCGCAATAATCTCAATAAGGCAGAGCAGGGAGAATCAGACCAAGAAGCAGTTTTAAACATGCATAATACACAGCAGGAGACATGACCTTGTTCCCAGTAACAGTGGCTCCTGGACAAGTCTGGATAATTAAGGTTTTGCTAAAGGCTGATCATCACACCACCGCTGTGGGCTGATTACACCATAGCAGGTTCAAGTTTGCACTGCAATAAAGTAGGGGGAAGGGGGAAAATAAACCCTACCATAACACCACTCTATTGTACACACAATTCACACCTCCCCACCAGGGAGAGGATACGAGAGAACGAACCACATGCGGCACATTAGTCACATCACTTAATGCAATAATGGAAGATGCTCAGATACTGTGGCGATGTGTGTGGGATAAGCACTTATACAGAATAGCATCAGCAGAGAGGTTGACCATTATGTTCCTTCTTCTCCCCAGAGAGGCATTGTTGATGCTGTTGCTTTTAAACTGCTTTCTTTGTGTGACAGCCCTGGTGGCTCAGCGAGATTAAAAACACAGAAGGGGGAAAAAAGAGAATCAGCCCATGCTAAGTGAAATGGCACATAATTGGTAGGAAAAGGAATTTAATTTTCCAGTAACCAAATGAGTCTTACAAAGAAAAACAGCAACGGGGACACACGGCATAACAGGCCACCAGAATATGCACCCTAATCAACTGGGAGCCAGAGACTGAGAGACAGGATCAAGACAAATAATTAGGTGGAAGAGATGAAAGAGGCAGAGAGAAAAAGGGGAGACCTGTAGACAGCACTCATCATAACCTAGTGTATTCCATACCCAGGGAGGTTCCTGTGGTACTGTGCAGAGTCCTTCCCCGTTATTTTTTTTAAAGTTCTGTAATTTCTCTGAAATCCCTCATTAAGACTCTAATGCCTGACAGTGTTGAAGGATGTACTGCTGCCTGGCCTTCCCTAGCAGGTTAAATAGATAAAGAACTAAGCGAGGCACATAAGCTACATCTACACTACCAGATATACAGTGTAGAGTTCTTAGCATCCCCCTCTTCACTGACTAGATTCCAAATACTCAGAAATAATTATTTTATAACAAGGATGTCACAAGTTAGACCCACCTATGCCTAGACTGCATAGGAACTGGTTTGTGCTACAACAGGAGATGGCCAATCTAAGAATTGTTAGAAAAGTGCACATTCATTTACCTAAACCTCCACTGAATTAAAAGTGACTTTTTAAAATCCAGTAGCCATCCTATTTTACTTGCTCTTTTTAATATCTCTGCCAGACTGGACAATGGTAAGTAAAGAAAAGAAAAACAGAAGTCAATTAAGTTTTGCTTTTGCTTGCTGTCAGTATTGCTTTAAGTCATCTGGTGCTGCAGTGTATCACTCTTAAAGTGCCACAGCTTGGTTACTGGTTTCAAGACAAACTGGTAAAGAAGTTTGCTTGTGTCATTTAACTACATCTCTATTTAAGGCTGCACCAGGTTATTCTTAATCCAACTCCAGTTTTGTTTGTATCAATTTATTTTACAATGGCAACAAGTCAACTTAAACCAAACCAAATAACTTGAAGTTGACTTGAACAGTAATACCAAATAAGATGGAATTTAACATTTTTTCCCTGGAATCCTAAATATGCAAGTATCTTAGCATTTATTTATTATTTTAGAGACTTTCTCCACCTTCTAAGGAAGAGACAAATCTT